GTATGAGGCATGTAAAGAAGCAGACAAATACCTCACTGGATTTTTTTTTTTTGTTGTTTTAACCAAAAGGTGTTAGGCACCTAGTTTCAGCAGGGTTAGCTCAGGCGAGCTTCCCTCTCTGGTCATAAGACATGTGAATGGAGCTGGCTCAGAGTTCAGGCAAGGAGAAAATTCATCCCTGGGAACAATTTCTTACTTGGTTTAAGTCAGTCCTCAGACAAACATGTGCTGCAAGAACCGAAATCAACACCTGAATATCTTTGTGAATTACTGCATTAGTAGCATTTTAAATATTTTTTTTTGACACTTCGTTATGTTCCCTGGAAAATGTTTCCACTGTTACTAATCTCTTTGTGTCAGGTTTTGACTAATTTGTTGCTTTTTGAGGTCTAGTTCGAATATTTTGACAGTGTCAAACAATGTATTTTGGAATCTCTTGGAGTACAACATTCTCTACTTTTACTATGAAACCATTTTAAAATTTATTCTCAGATGAGTGTTGGACCACTTCAGTAACGCTTAGGAATAAAGGAATTGTCCGCCTACATTAGGCAGGAGGTTGTGCCGGCTGCCTGGGCTGAGCGCTTTGGAGGCCAGTATGAGCCACTCCTCCATGGGGACATCATGTGATGTATAGCAAAGACACACTTCTCCTTCCACAGCAGCCTTTTATGCTTAATTTGGAAATCAGATTAGTGTAAAATCGAAAAATCAAGGATAAGATTTCAAAAAGAAGTTAATAATGTTTTAAAAATTAATCCAAATATCTCTGAACTGTACTGAAAAATTGTTATTTCTTTTTCTTAAAAGGATCTGGAGAAAAGCAGCTATCAAAATGAGGGAACTGGGCAGAATATAAATTAAATAATGTGCCTACAGTAATTAAAAAGGAGTACTGCAAGTAGTTGAAGTGCAAGAAGAAATGTAAAAAACATATTGAAGCTTTGAAATGTGTTTTTCCAAACATCTTAAAAAGCGTCCAGGTTATCTGGTGAGTAGATCCAGACAAAGGCTAACTCTGGCTTTGCAATATTTTTAATGCCACATAGGTATAAAAATTCCACAAATGCAAAATAATGTTCAGGTTGACAACCATCTTATTTCCACAGTGTGATTTAAACATGTTGGAAGGCTTTGATTGCATTAAGTGTGGTCACTTTCAAATTTATTCCTGTGTGCCCCAAAAGAATAGTCTTTAAATGATTAAAAAATGTAGGATACAAAAATGTGCATGGGCATATATATATATACATTTGTGGGGGAAAAAAAGGAAGAACCCAAAAATGTCAAGGACAGTAAAACATTTTTCAAGATATTTTCAAGATTTAATGGACATTGAAGGATGACTTTGAAAGTATTCCAATGATAAAATAAAATCTAGAGGTTAAAAAGCTCCTGAAGAAGCTGACATCGAAGTCCCTCAATGTGAGAGCATTCTGGGAATGTCTGAAACATTTCAGGATGTATTTAATCAAGTGTCAGTGCTACAGTACTGTGGCTTAGTGGGAGCTTTGCCAGCTTTAAACTTCATGAATAGAAGACGCAAATTGTTGCCCAAAAGAGAGCAAAAGAATTCCCCCCCCCTTTTTACTTTCCTATTAATCAAAATTAAAAAGAAAGAAATTTGCAATTGCCAGCAAAGGTTCAAACTGATGAGAAATAAGCATGTATGCCCCAGATAGCAGGACCAGGAGCTTCTCAGAGGTGGCAGTGAGCCTTGGAGTGGTGTCCATGTTTCATGAGGGCTGGGGGATACTGGCAGTGACGTGGGGCTCCTGCAGTCACAGCCCACGGCAGTGTGTTGGCCCCTGGTTTCGGCATGGCAGACAGGGCTGTTTCTGCCCCGAGGTGCCCTGAGCAAGGCATGAAGCCCTTCCTTTCCTCGGGAGGGTGAAGGGTGGTGGGTGGTGCCCCTTTGCCAGCTCTCTGTGGGACTTGCTGTGGTGGAGCTGGAGCTGCGGTGCCCCAGGGGACCCTGCCAGGGGCATTGGGTTGCTTAAAAAAATTGAGGAAAGACCTGCAAGTTTGTACAGCTGTTGGTGGTGTTGAAGGCTTGTGAAGGAAAAGTCTTATTTGCTTCTTTTCACATCACCCTCCTCTTTTCAATGCTGCTTTTTCAACCATGTACCGCTTGGTGTTACATGCACCGTATCTGAAATACCCAACTGCAGCCTTCACCTCATATGTCCTCTCCAGCAGGGATGTCTAATGCTTATAGCCCTGGCAGAGGGACTGGGATTGCAAAGCATCAGCCTGGACTTGGTTTCTTACAGCCCTGTGTGTGCCTGTCGTTTCCAGCCGGAGTACGACTCAGCGCCATTGCTGGGAACACGCGGTGGGCGTCCTTTCGGCGTTTGCTTTGGCAATGAGCGCAGTCTCTCAGCCTCCACTTCCCATAGATTAGCAGACAACGTCTCTATGGAGATTTATTTTGACAGCTTGCATTTTCGACAGCTTGTTCTGCATTTTGGCTTTGGCCAGGATGCCACATGACATTAAAGAGCAGCTGAACTGAGTGGACATCTGCTGTCACAAAAGTGACCATTAAATTTACAAGCAGGCATAAACTGGGCTGAATTAAAAAGGCAACAAAAATCCCAGTCGAGTAGGGAACATAAACATAACAGCTGCAGCTAACACTGTTTGGGGGATTTTTGTCCTTTTTTTTTCTTTCTCTCTTTTCTTTCTCTCTTTTCTTTCTCTTCCTCTCGCTACCCTACAGAGTTGGTATACTCTCTACCCACTAATTCATCTGATTTTTGAGAGGTAATTCACCACTACTTTCTCAGGTTAATACTGGACCTTCTGAGTGCAGCTGGGGTTTGCGAATATTTAGAGAAATGGCCTCTCAAGCAGCAAATAAATATCAGCCTGAAAACAGCTGGCGCATTGGCCGTGGTACTGACTGACACCAGTCTTGAAAAGGCCATTTTCTGGCCTTGTCTACAAGGTGGGACCGGGACAAGAGCCCACATAGGAGAAAGAAGACAACTGCAATTCTTTTTATTTCTGTTAATCAAATAATTTATTTAAATTAATGTAATGTAATTTAAAATTAATGTAGAGAAGCCTAGGTGAAATTTTGCTTTCTGCATCCCAGGGCATTGGGCATTATTATGCACCTGTACTGTGCCCAAAGATGTAGGGGGGGAGGGGGCACCAATAGTTTTTACTATATATAATGTTAATAAACTGTTCATCAATAATGCTTTTCATGAACGATTTTTTTTTGAGGCCACAGCTGTCATGTACTTTACGATCCTCCCTGCAGGCCATGGAGGAGGGATGTGAAGGTGGCAAAGGAGGTGCCTTCCCTGTGAGCAAAGGAGGTTTTTGCAAGGTTGGGCCTTAGAAGCGGTGAATCCCTCCTGCTGACCCGCCTCATGCTGGAGACAGACGAACTGTCCCTGAACCAGTGGCCTCGCCGGTGGCATGTGTGCAGCTCACAAAGTGGGTAGATTTCTAGCACATTTCCCTCGTGAGCCCTGTGCACTGATGGGCATCTCCATCACCTCGTGATGGAGCCAGCATGGCTGGCCAAGCCAATGTCCTGGGTGGACTTCAGCCATTTCTCCCATCATGGGAAGGTGCCCCATCACCTCTAATGCTGAACACCACAGTCAGGTGGGGGATCCATAGCTGCTGCATTGGCTGTGCTACAGACCAGCAGCCTTTCTCCTTCACTTGTGGCTTACTGACACGTTAAAATGTAGAGCAGCTGTTGAAATATCAAGTACTGCACCATGGACAAATAAGGACCATTTCAGTTTAAAAAAACAATAGCCCCATGTGCTCGTGGTTAGGTGCTGGGCATAGCGAGCAACGGCAGCCCACCAGGCCCACTACTCATGACCTGCTGCTTGTCCTCGGGAGGCCATCAAGAAGCGCTGCAACAGTCCCCAGCACTTTCCCCACCAGTTCATTTTGCTGATTTGCCTTGAAATCAAAGCACCTCTCTATTTAAGAGCTGCAGAATCAATCCTCTGTCCTGGGTAGGCTTACAGCAGCTACGCTACTGCACGCGCCCCGACAGCCATGTATAGATCTAAGCCGTTACACTATAAATATTTTTCTATCCCGGTCCCGTAGGTTAGAGGTTAAGTAGGTTGAGACTAATCTTGATTTGTGACCCAGCTTCGCATGTACTGGCCGTGAGGTTAAGCCCTTTTCCAGTGGCCCGCTGCCTTCTGCGGCTGTAATGAAGCTCATACACACTAGATGGCCCCAGGAGAACGCAGCGCTGCTTGGAAATCTTAACTGAAACCTGCTATATTGAATTTAAAAAAAATATTTAAAATCTGGTTACTCCAAATTCCTTCTCATAGAATTACTTAGACTGAACTTTTCAAGGTGACTGAAGAGCAATCAGGATGTGTCTTCCAGAGGAAGCCAGAGAACTTAAAATATTGAACTAGCACTGAAATTTTATATTTATTCAATAGAGATTAACTTCAAATATATTCTTTCCTCAGAGCACCCCACAGACGGGCTACAGCTATGTTGCTGTTTTCAATTCGAGCATGTAAGAATGGAGAGCATGGGGGAAAAATGAAGTTGTTTCAGAGAAAAAAACGGTGCCATACATACATCTTATGTTTCCATGACAGAGCAAGTGAGTTTAGGGAGTAGGTTTCACACTCACCATGTGCAGTAGTACACTCTGCACAGAGCTGTGGGCAGGTTTGGGGGCCTGATGGGTTGTGCAAGATGGCACTGTGCGTTGCCAAATACAGCCGTGAAGTCTGGCCCTTACTGTGGTTTTCTGCCTTGATAAAGGCATTAAAATACAGGAGATTGAGACAGGCCCCCTTGAAATAAATAGTAAATAGGCCTGGTTAACTGCTTGTAAGGACTTGGGAACAGAAGTGCTTTTGGCTCCATCTTCATATTACCAACCAAATAAAGGTGTCTGTCAAAATCTCTGCAGCTGAAGAATAAATGCCAAGAGTGGTCCCAGGGGTGATTTTTAGCACTTTGACACCAGCTATGAACCATACTACATGTCTTCTTTAGGGTCGGGTCCACAGCAGGATTTATTTCTGCGTCAAGGAAGATTACAGCTAATAGGATTTGCTTCTTGGAGGCTGTTGGCATGTTTGGTGCAAACCCTGCACAGTGCTTTCTTAAAGGAGAATATGGACCCCATTTGTCATGTTTTCCTTCTTCTTCTGGCCTTGCACAGGATAAACCCAGCTGTTTCATCTTGTGTCACAGGATGCTCTTGTTCTCAAGACAGCTTTGGAAGGTAAGACCGCTAGTTACCTGTGTTGTAGCATCACCGAAGCAGCTCGGAGCTTCCCAATATATATTTGCCGATGTTGTGAGCACCAAACCCAAACAGATGGCCGTGTGGTATGCCTCCGCTAACTCTTGAATAGTACTAGTTTGGGCATAGAATGAGATTTCTCTTATTTCTCTGAGATATGTAGTTGCATATGTAGCAGTTTTTATGGCTTAATTGGAGTTTTTGTGGGTAAACGGGTGTAAAACCGAACTGAAGGATGGATGTATGGCGTATGCATGCCCTGTATACGATACCTTAAAATTATTCAAGTGCTTGTAGACCTGTAGAGGGAATGAGTTTGTTAACCGTGAACGTGATGGCCGACATGGAGAATTTTCTGGTTTCCTCCTTAGGAGTTTGCTCTGCATGTCTGCACTGCTGAGGCAGATCCCTGCAAACATCCCTCAGGACATGCGGAAAATTAGAATAGAAAATTCTCACCTAACAGAATTACCTCGCGGGTCTTTTGAGAACATTAGTGCCTTAGAGTATCTCTGGCTCAATTTTAACAACATCACGGTGATGCACATCAAGAGCCTGGAATATCTGCCGGCATTAAAGGAGCTGCGCTTGCAAGGGAACAAGTTAAGTTCGGTGCCATGGACAGCCTTTCAAGACACCCCGGCTCTGAAAATCCTGGATCTGAAGCACAACCGGCTGGATGTCCTTCCAGAACATGCACTCCGCTATCTGCCCAACCTGACCTATTTAGATCTATCCTCAAATCAGCTTACCGTCATATCCAGGGATGTCTTCTATAGCTGGCCCGTCTACCAGCACAGCCAGAGGGCGGAGGGGCAGATAGAAGCTATTTCCAACGCCGTCTTGGCCCTTCATGACAACCCCTGGATTTGCGACTGTCGCCTGCGGGGATTTGTCCAGTTTATCAAATCGGTTGGCCCACCTATTATTCTCATGAATTCCTATTTAACGTGTTCAAGCCCGAAATTCAGGGCAGGGAAGTTTTTTCATGAAGTGGAGCTCAACAGCTGCATGAAGCCCCAGACCTCAGCCCTTGACACCAACCTGACAGTCCCGGTGGGGCTAAATGTCACTCTGACCTGCTTTGTGCAAGCCAGCCCTTCCCCGGCTGTCTGGTGGACCTATGCACTCAAACTTTTAAGAGCATTTAATGGTAAGCAAAGCTTTTTCTTCCTTTTTTCTTTTGATTCAAAATTTATGTTCTGTTATTCTACTTACAGGCCTTCACAGGCACCACAGCAGCTCTCAGCCCCTTCAGAGCATCCCAGTTATGGTGGTGGCAATAATCCAAATAATCTTAATCACCGTATGTCTCAGCATGTCTGACGGGCATGAGACGAGCTGCTTCATGCCAGATATCAGTCAAAGGTGAAAGGAGCACAGACGCATTTTTACACAATTATCTTACGTGTGGGTTTTTAGCAGTAGCTCTTTCATCATCACACATGATGTAAGAACTATTAATAATATATCAGTCATGCATATATAATAAATTTGTAGTTATCGAGACATGCATATATATTTACACTATATGTTATATACTACATGTATATGCACACACTCTATGTTTGTATGCACATACGTGTTTGTAGGAGGGCACACACACTTTTGTATGTTTCTATACTATTCCCATATGTTTTGTCTAGAAATACCCACACCAAACCACAAAACCCTGCAGCACTGTTGTCCATCTGTGTCTGTTGCTGTTCTGCAGCTGAAACAGCAGTTGTTGTTCTCCACAAGCCTTCCTTAGTTATATTCTTTATTGAGAGCCTCATAATATGAGGCCTTTTCCTCTTCCTCCGTGCCCAGCTTGGCTCTTACACCCCGTCCCTCACGTTTATTTTTACTAAGAGCCTTCAATAGGACAAGTTGCTATTTTCGTCAGGTAAGCTAATAACGCATACGGGCACCGCACAGGTTATGTGTGTTCCTAATAAGCCAGTGAGCTAAATTAACCCTTAATCCTGAACTGATATTTGCTTTAATTGCAGCATTGTAGCAGCACCTGTGCATCTTCCCACAAGCACATGCTGAATTAATTGCATACAAGCTTTCCCTGACAACAGCCACGCGCCCCTGTTTGGGTAGATGACAGGCTGTCTCATGCTGTTCTTAAAGCTGCATCTGACCTCCAGCCCACCGCTCCCTGGCTCCACACACCTCTTTTTTGGCCGGAGCCTTTTGAGACTGACATTTTTCCGCACTCAAAGCTTGTGGAGGCTGGAGAGCGTGTCCAACATGCAGCTGTGCCTCCAGCACTGCAGCAGCTCTCCCTGGCTTGTCCTGACCTGAGCATGCTGATGGCAGACGGCACACGGATGGCTCGGCCTCTGCCCGCAGCAGCCTCCCCACAGGGGGTTGGATGCTCTCCCTGTCCTGTGCTTGGGTGTCCAAGTGTGTTTACTGCCTTGTGGCCCAGATCATACTTTGTTGATGAGCTCTGTGGGGTTTGGTGCACTCCTGTGCCCATCTCTCACCTTCGCTGGGCAGGGCAGGACCTGCTTGGCCCCCATCCCACACCGCAGTGGTCTTGGGGCTGCCCCAAAGGCATGGTGGCTCCTTACCTGTGTGGCCCCCCCGGCTGACACACCTCCCCTCTGCCCGCAGTGTCCACCGAGCACATCAGCGAGGAGACTGTCCGCTCAGAGCTGCTGATCCCGGCGGCACGGCCAGCGGACACCGGCAACTACACCTGCACGGCCGCCAACTTCCTGGGCAACAGCTCGGCGGCCATCACCCTGCGGGTGGGGGCCCCGTGGGCGTCTCCCACCCCCCCAGACTGGGCCCCCATGGCCCCTGCTGAGCCAGGTGCCCACGTGGAGGTGCGCATCGCCAAGCAGACAGTCTATGGCATCACCCTGGAGTGGTTCCGGGGGCGGGGCGCGGAGCACGGGCGCCGCGGGG